GTCAAAGGCAGAGGTGGTGGCAAGGACTGCCCAGATTCCAGACCAGCTGCAATGGGGATGGGGACAGTTCTAGGGCAGGAAGAGTCCGGGCCTGGTCCTCTCCTGCCTGGGCAGGGACACATCAGAGACTTTACTGCAAATTGGGGAAGGCCTCGTCACACCAACTCCCACCCTGGCCTACTCCTGTTCTTGCACAGGGCTGTGAAAATGCCCAATCGTTAAAAACATCAGAGATGGAGAAGATGGAAACCTTCATGCCAAGAGAATGGTGACACTCCAAGAGCCGGCATGCTGGGAGAAGCTGCCAGGGACAGGCGCTCTCCTGGCCTCTGTGGCTGACTGACAGGGGAGTGACAGTGTGTGTCCTCAGGGACTGGTCTGACCAAGGGTCTCCTTCCCCTTCCTCTGGAGATCTCTCCTCTCCTCACAAACAGTGGTTTTTCTGAAAAGAACCCCTTGGGATAGATTTGGCATTATGATCTATTTTTAAAACCCCATGGCACCGTTTGGAAAGTCATTTACTTCCCTTAGTCCTTAAGATTTTGCCAGTAGGATTTCTAATTTTGGGGACACACAGAGACCTCCTGCTTTGTCTAGGGAAACCAGCCAGGGCCAGGACAAGGCAGTGCACAACCCCCCATCCACAGCAGGTAAGTTCTGGACCCGCAACAGGGATCACAAGCTACGGCCTTGGTTCCCCAGCATCCGCCTTGCTACTCTTGCTCCTGTGCCTGTGAATGTCCTATGCAGACACACTCGCGCACACTCACCGCGCACACCACCTCCACCGCCACCTCCGCCGCCACCACACGAAAACAGATGCCGCCGCTCGCCCCGTGTTCTCTCAAAGTATCTCCTCATTTATACCCAACCCCAGTTCACCAAGTACAATTTCGCAGTCATCACTTTCAGTATACCACTCCTGAGGGGTGTGTGTGCATGTGTGCGTGTGCACGTGTGTGTGTGCGCGTGCGCGTGTGTGTCATCCTTTCATTCACCCCCGAATACCTCAGGGGTTGCTTGGAAGGAGCTCTGCCTTACTTCCAGGCCCAGCTTTGCCCCAGAGCCTCTTTGCAAAGCCTCCACTGACATCTTCTTGTGATAGCCCCATGTAGGCCTTCCCTCCACCTTCTCCTCACTTCACCCCTAAGTTTCAGGGCTGAGTCTCCTCTCCCCACGTGTACAAAACCCAGGCAGGTGGGGTAGCTGGTGTGATGCTATCTGGGACAGCCTTATCTAGCTCCAAATCGTGAATCAGTGATTACACCACACAGGGCTGGTGCCAGCCAGGCGGGCTGCCATATTGCCAAGTAACCCAGTGGTTGAACCAGGTTGGGTTGAGTAATATCCACCAATGGGAAGTGAGTTTATTAATCATGCAGCATAGTACACTGTTGACGAAAGCATAACTCCGAAGGCCTGGTTTGATTGGAGAAGGTGTAGGTGGGGCTGGATGCTAACTATGAAGACACACAGTGACAATATCCTCCTCTGACACTGTGCACTCGAAAAACACATAGAAATCTGGAAGGAAGCATCTGGTTTAAGAGATGAATTTTATGCTCAATCATTAGGAATTTTCGGCCATCTTGGATTCCCTTTGTTAAGAAAGAAGGATGCCTCCATGCGGCTCTAAATAAAAAGCTGCAGTGTGGAATTTCGAAAGTTTTCACGAGGTGAGAGAAGGGCATTCAAGATGGCAACCAGTGACCTAGAATTGTGTGGGTTCGAAAATTTAAGATTCCATACTGCATTCTCTTTGTTCATCTCTCACTTCAAAAACATTCTTCTCTAAGGCCACAGCCTACCTCCTCCACCCAGGCCTCGACTCTCAGTAACTACAGCCAATCCGAAATACCACCCATATTCTTCACTGTCATGGGCCTGCTTTGGAGCTGCAAGAGCTGTGTCTGAGCAGGGACACGATATTTCTGTTACTTTGTGACTTGCCTGGTCTGGCCCTCAGGGGCTGAGACGTGGACCCCAGTTCCAACCTGGTGCGATGCTTATACAGCCCAGTGTCATGTGCCAAGCCCCTAAACTTTGGTGAGGCGGAGCATATGTGACACACACTGCAGAGAAGCCCAGGTGAGGTTTTTAGAGGGCAGGCAGGAAGAAAGGGAGGGGAGAGGACTGACTTGTCCAAAGACTGTTCTAGAACAAGCCTCAAGGGATAAAGGAGTCTAAAGACTACAGGGAACAAGGTGAGGGGGGCATGCACAAGGATGGAGATGCGTACGCAAAAAGGAAGTGGAGGACATCTATTTTCTCGCCAGAAATGGAGAAAGCTCTCGGGCCGGCAAATAAACTAATTAAGGGATGAGGAATGTTCTGGGGGAGATAGCTTGTAGGGTAGGGAAAGCTTTGCTTTGATGGGAGATAGAAATCATAAGATGCAATGGGTTGAGGCTGCATAAACATTCCCTGTGTGTTCTCCAAATCCCAAATGTCCTTTCTTTCCTTAAAAGCATCGGACCCCCAGGGCCATTTGTAAGAGCGATTTTTCAGCCGGGACCACTTTTACCAGGCAGCCACCAATAGTGAGTCCTGTCCAGGCAGGATTCAAGTTGTAGAACTTTCAGACCAATTTCCCCAATTATCTGACCACAAAAGAGCCGCCAATCTCTCTGGTTATCTTGCCAACCCTGAAGAACCTCTGTCAAGCCTCCACCTGTTTTGCAGGCTTCAAAAGCTTTAGCAAGAGAACTATTCAGTGTGGCTGTAGAGGCCCTCCAGGGTCCTATTGTCCCTAAGACCATCAGAGAAATAGTTTGTAAACCAGGATATCCCCTCCCTTCTACCCTCAAATACCCATTGGAAACCAGAGAGAAGGTTCTAGAAGATTCCAGTCATCCGCCCTGATTCCCATGAGTTTATCTAACCTGTTGGTTCACCTAATCTCTCTGGCAGTTCAAGGCCGCCAGAGGGTGGAGAAAAATCTTCTTCTTGAACCACAGTAAACACTCAAAACTGTATTTGAAACACCAGAACCTGCACAAAATTCTGACCAACTTCCAATAACACCAAGTTCCATGGTTCCCCTTTGAGAGTTTTCAGAGCAAGAAACGACAAAACCAGGCATAACAACCTATCAAACAAACCACCAGCCAAAAACAAACCAAGACAAAAAAAAAAAAAAACAACAAAAAAAAACCAAAAACCAGGCCAAACCAAAAAACTTTATGCTATGAAAACAAGAAATAAAATAAGGAGATTTCTAGGCCAGCTGATTGTCAGCAAACACAATATATTTACCGTATTAGCATTTGCTCACAGTGCAAATGGTACAACATTACACCATTTCAATATTTCGGTTTTTAAAAATGCTGTTTTCATGAACTATATTATATTGGCATAACAACGTCGTGACAGATGAGCAAATGAAATGTTGGTGAAGAATTTCACCTTTTCACAATATCAAGCATATTTTTTTAACCTTAGTATAAGGTACTATAAATCCAAGAAATAAAAACATCCACAAAATATATTACATCTGGTTTGTCTTTTTCTAAGTACTCAACTTTATACAAAAGTCTTTCAAAAAATATCATTCCCCTTAGGTTTTCCTGTTTAAAACCTGATTTTTTTTCTCTCAGTTCACATAAGTTAGAGTGCATTTTCTTTTGTTCTTTTTTTTTTTTTAAAACATGCAGACATATAAAAAATCTGGATAGCACAACCTTTTGGCAACAAAGTTATTTTTCTCTTAGTTTAGCTTAAATGTCTGAGAACAGTTTTATTAAAACAAAGGAAAACTCAGAGTTATCATGCAGTGACATGCATATACCAGAAGGAGCAAGGAAAAAATATTAAAGGATATCTGATTCCTCCTTCCAGCTTTGAAGTGACCAAAATTTTTGTTTTTTAATAATCATCACATTATAAAAAGTATTCAGCAAAATACTGTCTCTGCAAAGAAAGATTTTACCCTTCCGCTGAAAAAATATGGGCCCTCCCGTCAAACTTCATCTTCTTCTCTCTCCTTCTACAAAAAGTCCAAGTACCTGGAAATTCACAACCCCCCTGCTCTTTGATTTCCCCCCCCATTTCGCTACAGTCCTTGTAGTATATTTATCCACCACCAAAAAAGGTGCTTTTTTTTCCTTTATAAAAAAAAAAGTGGGAAACGCATAAAGTGACTTTAAAAACAGACATTCTGTAAACTCCAGACCTTTGTTCCTTCTCTCTGGGCAGCTTTACTGACCGCAGGAGAAATACGCTAATAGGAACAGTACATTCAGTCAAGACTGTGCTGGAAGCTGTGTCAGGGAGCAGCCTTCCCTACTACTCCACTTCAAAAGAGCCACCCTGTTCGAGAAGTGCTGGGCAGGACAGCCGGGGACAGGGGGTGCCTGAGAAGAGGTGAGGTAGGGCGGGGAGAAGGTGAGATTGGGATATGGAAAAGAGACCTCATTCATCGACATGGATTAATGAAAAAAAATCCCCGTGTCTTTGAGGAAAATTTGGACAGAGATGCATGTATGCATATCCACACACATACATGTACAGATATGTGTATGTCTATATCCACACATACATACACACATAAGTAAATACAATCTCATCAGTTAACATTTTCATAAAAAATAAACCATTTAAAGCTGTATACACCTACAAATTCTCTTTATCCCCGTGCGCCGCACTGGATAACCAAATACCTTAGAGATTTTATTTTGCTAGGAATACATACCGTGTGTATGTTACCCATATGCATGCATGTGCATCTTCATACACATACATACACATACGGCCACACACACCCTGTACATCTATTTAAATCCTGTCTGCTGTGTTGGAGGTGACAAAGGGCAAGACCAAAGCCAGCTCTCTCACGCATGTGGGAAGGAGGGTGCGAGAGAAAACAGAAAGCGGAGTGGATGGGCGAGGCCTGCCTTTCTGAGAAAAGATTTGGGGAGAGCTGGGGAGAAGGCTTAGAGGGGGGAGGGAAAAGGCGGGGAGGAAGGGCAGGGGGCAAACTCAGGAACATTTTTAAAAGTGGGGCCGAGAAAATAACACGTGTATATGTATATTTAAAGGCAGGCTCAGTGATGGCTGCTTTTTCTCCCCGCAGATCAAACTGCCCTGAGGCCTAAGAGGGAAGCGCCCGGAAAAGGAGGGGTTCTGAGGGGCCAAACCCGAAGCGGCGACAGCGGCACCGCGGCGGCGGCATCCGAGGCATTTCTGTAAGAAACATTATTTCAGAGCAGATGGAAGACCATCTCCTCCGGCCACGTGCAGGCCCCCAGCCTGGGACATGCCCTGGCAGCCTGGGGGCCCAATGTGGGGAAGAGTTTGGGGTAGACACAGCCCAGTTCAGCTCAAGAGTCTCACACACACGCGCGCGCGCGCGCGCACATCCACACACTCATCCACACACGCACACGCGAGCACGCACACACTCGCGCGCATCCCCGCACGCAGGCGCGCGTGCGTGCGGCGGGCAGCAAGCTCTGCGCTTTGGTGCGCTTCTTACCCCCTCCCCCTCTCGAGTCTTCGAGGGGGAACGGAGGGAAACACGGGGGAAACAGTGAGGTGTTTGGGTTGGGCGAGGGTTGGGTGGGCTCCGCCTTCAGTCCCCCGCAGGTCCTTGGCGCGGCCCGGCGGCCCCTGGATCAAGGCGATCCGACTGAACAAAGCGGGCTAGACGCCACCTTTCCGCCCCCACGCCTTGGCTAAGGGGGGGCAGCGAGGGGAAGGCGCCTCCAGCCCTGGCCCCTGACCGCCGGCCGGCGTGAAAGGGTGGGAACCGGGGGCATCGCAGGGGAGCAAGGGGCCGCACGTCCATGGAGAGGCCAGGGCGCGGCCCCTGCGCCTCCGTGGCTGGCTTTCCCGCTGCTTTCAGGCGAGCAGCCGGAGGCACTGAAGGGGAAAAGTGGGGATCTGGGGGCCAGAGCCTCAGGCGCAGGTGGTGACCACGGGGGCCAGGGACACTGGGGGCGCCGAGGATGCCGAGGGCGCACCCCCCTTCTCCGCCTTCTTCTCCTTTTGCTTGAGGTGGATCTTGGCGTGGCGCTTGCGCTCGTCGCTGCGCGCAAACTTGCGCCCGCAGAACTCGCAGGCAAAGGGCTTCTCGCCCGTGTGCGTGCGGATGTGAGTGGTGAGGTGGTCGCTGCGGCTGAAGCTCCGCATGCAGATCCGACACTGGAAGGGCTTGTGGCCCGTGTGGATGCGCAGATGCCGGGTCAGCTCGTCCGAGCGGCTGAAACGGCGGTCGCAGCCCTCTGCAGGGCACGCGTGGGGCCGTTCGTGGAGCGGGGTCTTGCTGGGCCGGTTGGGGTACTTGCGGGGCCGGATGGGCTTGAGAGTGAGTGGCGGCTGGGGCAGGCTGCCGAAGCCCGGGTGGATCTGCTTGTCTTTGAACGCCTTGATGGTCTCCAGAGGAGTAATGGGGGGCGGGTTGACCCGGATGGGGTCCATGCCCTGGAAGGGCTTGTGCTCCGGAATGGAGCCCATGTCGTTGGGGTGGTGGTACAGGTTGTAGTCAGGAATCATGGGGAAGAGATTGCTGTCCAAGGCCGGCTTGGCCGATTGGTAATCCTGGGGGGAATAGGCGAGCCCGGGGTTGCCCTGGGGGTCGTGGAAAGACACGGGCTCCGAGTAGAGATCGCCGCAGTTGGAATAGGGGGGCAGCGCCGGATACATGGCCTCCACGTCGCCCTGCGGCGGCTGCACCATGCTGGCCGTGGACGTCTGCGTGCTGAGCGCCCCTGAGGCCGGGGGCACCCCCAAGATGCCGGCGCTCATGAGGCTAATGATGTTGTCCTGGCACCAGTTGGAAGGGGAGTCGAAGGCGAACTTTCCCAAGTAGGTCACGGTCTTGTTGCCGGGGGCTGGCTGGAAGGAGCCCGAGTAAGAGAGTTCCGGGTTGGGCTTCTCGTTGGTCAGACTGATGTCCATCACATTCTCTGCGGAGAGCGGGGGAGAGAGGGGAGGGGTGAGTGAAGCCGAGCCGGCTCCGGGCCGCGGCGCCCAGGTCCTTGCCCAGGTGCTGAGGGTGCGGCCGGGTGGAGTGCGCAGCGCATGGGGTAAGAGGAACGCCGAGCCCGGCGCAAAGCGGGCGGTGCCGCGCTCCCAGGCGCAACCTGGATACAGCAAAATACTACGGATCGGGGTGTGGAGTGGCTGCGGCACACACACCGCACAAGCCGCGCACACACTCACGTACCACACACACGCGCGCGCGCGCGAGGAGCATTGTTGTTCTTCCCGAGGTGGGGCGGGCAGGTAGCTGCAGCTACAGGTAGTTTCAGACCCGGAGCGCGCCGGGCTCTCGCTCTCCAGCGCACGCAACTCGGCCTCTTCCCCGGCCCTGTCCGCTCCAGGACGCCGCGCCTTTCCCGCCCCGGAGATGCCCCCCACGCTCGCTGCGCCCGGGTCGCCGACCCAGAGCGCTCCGACGCTTTGTCCTCGGAGCGTGGAAGGGTGCCGCCCTCCAAGGGAGCTCCCCCTTCGCCTCCCCGGGCCCCGGCCTCCTCCGGGCCTTAAGGAGCTCTCGGCTCTTGCTGGAGGGGAAAAGCCTAGCTCCAGCCGGAGAGGGCGGAGGGCGGCGGAAAAGCGGCCCGTGTCTCCATGGCGCGAGCGGCCGCCCCTTCCCAAGCTCCCCAGCCCCGGGATCGTCCTCCGTGGCAGCCCCCCCGCCCCGCGAGTGAGCCCCCTCCTGCTCCCCGCCGTCCCCACACCCCCACGGCTTTGCTGAACGCCCCGGAAAGGCAGCGTCGCAGTACCTCTCCCACCGCGGGGACTCCACGCCGCACATGGCTCCATCCCGGGTGGGAGGCTGAGGGAGTAAGGGGGGAGAGCGCGGGTGAAAAAGACGCTGGGCTCCTCCCGGGAAGGGGGCGACAGCACCACGCCTTGCGCGCAGCCCGGCGATCGGGCCCCCTGCGTGAGGAGGGAGAGCCCCACAGCCGCTCGCACCTACCTCCCTCCGGTCGGCGGCTGCCCCCACCCGGGAGAACCGAAGCCTCTACCGTGGCGTCGCCAACCTAGCCTTCCCGATCGGGGAGGGCGGGAGGAGTGGGTGGGAAAAGCAACTCGCCCCCCGGAAAATTCCCAGCGCGCCCCCATCTCTCCATCCATTTATCCATCCATCCATCCATCCAGCCATCCATCCATCCATCCATCGCGAGGTCGTTCTCTCCTCCTCTTCCTCTCCCTTTCCTTCCTCGCCGCCTCCCCGCCTCCCCGCCGCCCTTACCTGTAGCCATCTGATTGTAATGGGCTACCGAGTCGCTGCTGCCGGAGAAGAGGTTGAGCGCGCTGGGGATCTCCTCGGGGTACAGATTGTCAGGCAGTTGGTTTAGCAAACTGCTCATGGTCACCGGCAGCTTCTCGGCGAGTTTGCCGGTCATAGCACTCCCGAGCTGCCGCCGCCGCCGCCACCGCCGCCACCGCCGCCGCTCGCTCCTAACGCAGCTTCCAGGCAAGCGGCATCCGAGAGGCGATCCGTGGTGCAGGGGAAAAGCATGCGAGAGGGAAAGTTCGGGGGGAGGGGGGAGGGAAGAAGGGAAGGGATGGGCCAGGAGAGGGGAGCTTCTCTTTTTTGGG